ACTCCCGTCATTTAACAGCGAAATCAAAGAGAAATGAAAGTCACGCTGCCCAATAATGATGAGAAAATTAACTGTAATGTGAACTTCGCTATAGTGATTGTGTCATAGCTCCAGACTTAAGAATTATAGCTGTGAGCTCCTCACTGTCCTGTGTTAAACCACGGTAAAGTTAGTTTTATTTTCGATATTCGTCTTTTCAGTGCTAATAACATTTGAACCGATTATGGAGGATAGTAAAGACATACATATTCATTACCTTTGCGGTTTGGGTGACATTTAACGTACCCCTCTTTTGTGTTAATACCGTAAAAGTGAGACGAGATTTTATCCGAATAAAATGCATGCGTTTCTACACCAAACCTACATCCGTGCACACGCGTTTGTTTTCCTCCAAATCGTTTCAGTGCTTTTAAAAACATATTTTATTGTTTCCTTTAACAATAGATTCCGTCGGACCAGAAAAAAACGTCAATAGCTCCAGAACCACTGTGTCTATACACATCTGATTAATTGTGTTGTTTACTTTGATCCATGGTGAGAATTGCACACCAATTGCAAACCACAAAAAGGACATTTAATTAACCTGTAGCTAAAAATGTACATGCCCATACTTATTCTACTGTAATACCTGTAAAAAGTGATGTTACCTGTATACTGATATACAGTTAGCTCGATGATGGCATTCACAGTCTTTAAGGTTGTCTTATTTAATTTTGGTGGAATTCAAGTTTTTAAATACACCAAACACTCAGTTTGTCAAGTTAGAGTCAGTCTTCGACTAGACAGCTTGGAGATATAATAACACATCTGCAGTTCTTTTGGAATGAATCACAATATAATATTATATTTTTAATTCATTTAAACTTTTACATTCAAAAAATATTATGGATGTAATCAAATACCTAAATCACATTTTGTTATTTCAATTGCAGTTCAACCACATTAAATACAATGCTAAAATCAACTACAAATGGTGCAGCTAATTGGGAATTATGACAAACATTTTTATTTTAAATGTAGTACTTTACATTATTTTCTCCTTTTTGAATTTCAATAGCATTTTAGCTGCATTACATTTAACAGTGAATTTGGTGCGATGATGTCACCATTGATGCACACTCTGTGGATTTTAGATATAATGCAACTATTTTATATTAATGTTTATCTATTTTGAATTTCAATAGCATTTCAACCACATTACATACAACCCTAAAAACAAATGTGCATGGTGCAGTTAGGTGTCAGCAGTTATGCACAACCTTTGGATTTTGGATGCAATGCAATACCTACTTTATATTAATTTATATTTATTTGGAACTTCAATAATATTTAAACCTTGTTACATACAACTCTAAAAATAACGGTGTATGGTGCAGTGAAGTGTCAGTAATAATATACAACTTTCGGATTTTGGATGCAATGCAATACCTACTAATATTATTTTTTATTTATTTTGAACTTAAATTATATTTCAGCTGTCTTACACAACACTAAAAAGAAATTTGTATGGTGCAGTGAAGTGTCAGTAATGATGCACATCCTTTGGATCTTGGATATAAGGCAATATTTAATTTATATTAATTTTTATTTATTTTGAATATTTCCACTACCTTACATACAGCACTGAAAAAAATAAAACTGTGTATGGTGCAGTGCAGTGTCAGCAATGATGCACACTCTTATGTTATGTTAATTTTTATATATTTTGAATTACAATAATATTTTAGCCGTATTACATACAACGCTAAAAAAACTGTATGGTTCAGCAAGGTGTCAGCAATGATGCTCACTCTTTGGATTTTGGATGTAATGCAAAAACTACTTTATATTCATTTTTATGTATTTTGTTGTTCAATAGCATTTCAGCTGCAGTGTATGCAACACTAACATTGTTAGTAAAGGTTGTAGCTAAGTTGCAGCAGTGATGCACAACCTCTGGATTTTGAATGTAGTAATAATTACTTTGTACTCAAGAACTACTTCATATTTTTTTCCATTTTGAATTTCAAAAGGATTTTAGCTGCATTACTTACAACACTAAAATTAGTTACATTAGATCCAAAGGTAAAATCCAAAGTGCATCATCACTAACACCTGTCTGCACACTGTAAAAAATTTCAAGCCTCACCAACTTAAAATTTTCTAGTGACCTGTTGCACCTAAATATTTAAGTTGGCCCAATTTAAGTTTTGTGAAATGCTTATTTTAGGTTAGGGTGACAACCCTAGAATGTTACAATAACTAAAAAAATAAAGTTGTGTCAATTAAATTCACCAAATACATCTAGTTGGCCCAACAATATATCCTGTGTTGTGTTAGTTATTTTTGTTTAGTTCACGTAATTATGAAACTAGCATGAGAAGGTTGACTGAAATAGGAATTGTACAATATACTTAATAAATTGAAGATACAGTACATAATAAAACAAATGCATAGGAAATGCAAATTCTAAACATATGCATTTTATTATTTGTAGAGTATTACAGCACGTTTAGAGCACACTAAAGCATACTGTATGCAATAGATATTAAAGATATTGCCACACATGCCAAATGTTAAAGCAGCTTTGCTTATAAAAAAAATGACTTGAACACCTTGCTTTAAAAGCTCTCTTTTTGCCTTGCAGAAAAAAAAAAACTCTGTGCTTACTTCTTAAGTTCAGCATTCAACATTTCTGTCTCTAACTTCCTATATCCACTTTACCATATCAATTTAAGGAATTTACAAATGTAACAAATGTATCACACTCACCACAATCAACATCTGCAAACACAATAACTGCTCTCTGTCAAAACAGCAGTGCCAAGCAAGAAAACAAACAAACAAAAAAAAATAAACACTGATGTACCTGCACTATTTACATGTGCAATAACTTGTTTTTTAGAGAGTGCACTCTTGCAGTGCACTCATTTCCAAGGTGGAGGAAGACTTTCTGGACCACTTCAAATGTGTACTTTAGGTCCTTACAGTACTCTATGTTAAGTGCATACAACAGACCGAACAGAAGTGTGAAGGCATTTGTGTAGTCTTTCAGGTTATCCATGACTACCTGCTCTTCAAGTACAACTGCAAAATTGACCACACTGGGCAGTGATCTTGATGGGGCAGCGCTGTCCTTCACCACTTCGAGAATCCCCATTTTCATGTCCTTTGTGTGATCTTCTAATGCCTCAGTATCCTACAGAACACAAATAATATTACAACTAATATTGTGTATAAGTATTAAAACACATGCTATTACAAACATTCACAAAGAACTAGCTTTCTCTTCTTTACAGTTAAAGCTAAAGCAGCGGCCTGTTTCATAAGTTGCATGTTTCAGTACAGCAAAGTCAGTAATTCTGTATTTTCTAACAGTGAGGAAAGTAATTTACCAAAATAGTCTTTGAAAGTGAAGGATGCTCTCTCAAGTACAAGGAAAGCCCCTGAAGAACAGTAGATCTTCTGTGTGCTGTTAAGTCTGTAGTCTGCCAAAATAAATAATTTTAAAAAAGAAGGGAGTGGTGGATAATGAGTGATGAGTGTTAGCTGAAGACAAGATTGTATACTGTCGCTCTCCATTCTTTTACTTTTAATGTAAATAAATGTAAAGAGACTTTATTCCATGAAATTCTGTAGCATTTCTACAATCAGCATGAAATTTTCACACAATGTTTATGGGAGCTGCTGTGCTCAATTAATGTAGAAAAATATAAATCGAGAGAAATGGAGATACATTTTTTGGACAGTGATGACATGAAAATAAGTAATCAAGAAAAAATTAAAGAAAACAACAGATCAAGAAAAAAAATACTCTATAGTCCATAAATTAGTCATCTACTTGTATATCCAGTTTCTCCAGGAGCTCTTCCGTTATACCACCTCCTTGATTTGCTTTGGCTCTGTACATCTTCAGTAAACCTCTGGTATGACTATCCAGTGATGTCAGGAGTGTTGACTTCAGGTCAATGTGGTTAATGCGTTGAAATTCTGCATACCCCTATGAATGCATGAGAGTATGAGAGAAAGAGAGAGAGATAAAAAAAGAGAGAGACACAGAGAGAGAAAGAGTTCTATGGGTTAAGTGAATTACTGTATTCAAGACATACAACTACAGTGGCACCTGAAACTTGTTTACCTGTTCCTCAATGAAGAGTCCTGGCCATCTTTGTTTAACTGTTGACACCAGTGGTCAGTCTTGCATAATCTCCTTTCTTCTCAAAGAGAAAGTAACATCCATCTTCGAGTTCAAGATACTCAGGCTCATGTCTCTCTTCTTCACCTCTTCCTCCATTGATGCCCTTTCTTTTTCCAGAGCTTCTTCGTCTAATCCAGCAGGATGGTCAGGAAGAAAGTTCAGTTCAGATCTCCGGGGTCTCTTTAGGGACCTTCTGGATGAATCTTGTCTCAAATGATTTACTGTAATCTCAGTGCACCCAGCATAGCGGAGTTTCTGATGGTAATTTGCCATTTTAAACTTGAGACTTAATTTCCACCCTTCCCATCCAGTGTCACATCCTGGAGCTTTAAGACAAGGATGTTTCTCCACTAACGCACATGCTACCTTCTCCAATTCAGAGTCCTTGGGGTACGCTTTGTACAAGTATACTGCTTCTGCCAGCTTATCCAAGACATGCATTTTGATATCTCTTGTGATATTCAGGGTCATGCCATTGTTCAAAGCCTCATTCACTTTCTGAAGCCTTAGCTCCACATCATAGGAAAATGAAGGTACCGGAAACTGGCTTGGCCATTGATCTGACCTAGAGACGTATGGAGAAGCCTGTGCTGAATCTGATGAGGCTGTGGAGGAAGATAACTGGGTGGATGAAGACATGCTTGCAGTGTCCAGGGTGAAGTCTGACAAGTCAGAATCCGCTGGAATTGTGGTTAAAACTAATTCCCAATGAAGCTTTAAAGCAGCTTTGTTTGGTGGCAGCTCTGAGATGTCATGCAAGTTATAAAGTTCATTGGCAAAGTCCGGATCTTGATACTGAACTGTAAAACTTCTTGATTTGCAGTTTTTCACTGAGAATGGAAGTGAGTTCTTCCACTGAGGATGGGGTTGGACAGCTTCCTGATGTTATCAGGTGAGAGAATGACTCGAAGTAACATTGTAACCCAGAAAAGGAAAGAATTTCAGCAAAGCAGAAATCTCTTAGCTGACACCATAAGCTTTTCACCAACTCTGTAATCAGCCAGAGGAAAAAAAAATCATTGAGATCTTGTGGGTTCACAATAGCTACATCACTATAGGTACTTTCCACAATCTCATATGCCCGCAAATGTGCAACATACCACGAGGAAAGCTTTTCCACCGTGAATGTGATCTCTGTGCCAACAATCAGAATGCTATGAATTCAACAAAATTCTGGTATAAGGTTCCTTGCAAAGTTGCATTTGTGGCCAGTGATACAGTACTCTGGTTTGCATACTTGTTTTCAACTACTGTCCTCCACCCTGACTCAAGAGAGAATATTTTAACCACTTTCACTTTTTCAAGGTGTAATGGTGCTTTAAAGAAGCTTTGTGAGTCCAGAGCATGAGCTTTCATTAGCTGATGTTTACTTGCCAATGTTTTGAGGATATTTTTGAAATTATGAACATCATGCACAACCTTCTTGAAGAAGCTGTGCTTCGCCTCGAATCGCATTGTCCACAGATTAACTACTGGACCAAAACAACGGATCAGGTGCGGATAATGCTTAAGGAAATGATGTTTTGGTCACAGTCTCTCATTGGGAAAGACCTCAGTGAACAACCGACGATGATTTGAAATCTTGCTCTCTAGATAACTAGACCACTAACTCCACAATGTCTTTCAAGTCCATAATCAATTCCCAAGCCTTTTCACCCTCTGGCACCATACCATATCACCTTCCATCAGAGAGATTAGTCTTAGGGGGTCCAATTTTCATGACCATTTCCTCCAATTGTTTTTTGGAGGAAAAGGTCTTAGGGATTTTTTGAGGACGGTTAACCCTATCAGAAAATCGTTATGGAAAACACTGAATGACACTGTTTAGCTTTTCAAAGGTAAAGCACTTGTCAGCAATCAACTTCTGCAGACACAAAGCTAATTCAAATGGCACTATCCCTTCCAACAGATCATGCAGTACATCTGGAGGAAAGCCAGTAATAGTGTGAAAGAAGGAAAGCTGTTTTTGTAGAACACATTCAGAAGTCACACCAAACACATTTGTCAATGCTTTGTTGCTCTGTAACTCAGCAATACAGCCATTGTGTTGCTCTGGACTTCTAAACTGAAAAAGTCCCTAACTCACAGCTGTGGTCTGAATGTCATTCAAAGGTTAAACGGTTAGACAAAATCTACAAAATTTATCCACATGAAAACTCTCCTGAAACCCTGCAAGTCCGTGGGCTCCAAGGTTATCTTGGAGCCCATGGACTTGCAGACACAGTGAGCACTGTCTCCCTAACACTCTCACCCTTCTGTTTAACAAACACCCCACCCTGCTCAAGACTTCTTAAATCACGTAAAAGGGGTTCAAAAAATGCTGCATAGCTATAGATTCGGACTTCAGTACTCTTTCCAAGGAGTGCCAACTGAATCGAATTGAGACTTGATCGGTACTACATACATACATACATAATCTAAACCGATTATCCGTCTGGGTCGCGGTGGGGTGCTGGAGGCTATCCCAGCTGTCATTGGGCGGCAGGCAGGATACACCCTGGACAGGTCGCCAGTCCATCGCAGGGCCTACGATTGATCGGTACTGTGAAGCCCAATTAAAAATAAACCAATACACTGCAGTAATTTTGTGTTTCTTTTGAGAGGTGCCCAGAAGGTTTGATACTTTGATACAAAGTCATCAACATATAAACCAAGTGAAAGTCTGAAATCATAGCCACCAAGCAGTGTGTTTTCTTTGAAGTACTTACCATCAAAACACGATGTATAAAATCCTTGGTTACTCTCCTTGATAGGAAATGTCTTCTGAAATATTTCAGGTCGACTCAATAGGATCTTCAGTGCCTTTAGAAGAGGAACATACATAAATGTGTGTTTTCTTGCCCTATTAAAAACATATTCAACAGACTCAGTTACACTGTAATTGTTTTAAAGTAGAGGGTTCGTTTATGGTCGGTAGACAGAAGACCTTTTTCAGTGGTAGTGGTCAAAAATGGATTTGTTTTGTGAACAGCATCTGCAATGTCAGCAACAACTGACTGATCAATGTTACAGTTATGTCTGCACAGAATTTCGTCAATTGCATGACAGGTGTTTGGTTTTGAGATTAACAGAATGTCATTTACACTGTCAATGATCTGCTGAGAGGAACTTTTGGACACGTGCAACTTTGTTTGCATACATAAGAACAAGGCTGCAAGCTTGTGTTCAAGTATATGCTCAATATCTACAAGTTCTAAATCTTAAATTGGTGCTTCTTCTTGAATTTCTTCAGCTTCTTCAGCTTCACTTAGCACACCTTGTGATGAAGATGTAGCAAACTCAATAACTGCACCAAGTGCAGTACAAATAGATGTCCTGAAGTCATGCACTGTGTGGTATTTGTGCTTCTTGGACTTGTGAGCTCTGAAGGTGGTGTGATTAGTACTACTAAAATCACAATTTGAAAATGGACACTGAATTCTCTCATGGTTTTGAAGATGTCTTCCTAAGTGATGAAGAAATGCTGCCTGGGAGCAAACATCTTTAAATTCACATATTTCACAACAGAATGAGGCATTTTCAGAACATTTGTCTGGTTTAGAATGTATTCTCCATAAATGTGTTTTTAAGGCACCTGTTGTTTTAAAAGTACAAACACACTCTGGATATAAGCAGGGAAAAGAGTCTCTACCAGCTTCCCAATGATGAAGTCTGTAGTGCTTGAATAAGATTTCTTGTTGTGGCGTTGAGAATTTACAGTAGCAGCACTGCATGGGGTTCACCTTGTGTTAAGAGCTGAACACCTGGAAAATAAAAACAATACAAATAGTAGATATTTCAACCACTTAGCCAGTTGTCAGTTAGTATGTATTTGTATTAAGACAGTGCATCTCACAACCTAAGTAAATGTACAATTTGTTCAGATATGAAAATGTCCTAATGATTATCTGCCAGTGAGTGTGCACAAACAGAATTAGGTAGCTGTGCTCACGTTAATGCTATTGCATATCCTCCACAGAAAATTAAAGACGGTAGCTAAATGCTTCCAAGGCATGCTCTGATATAACACTTTATACATAACAATAACTTTTAATCAAAGTCAAATCAAGATAATCCTCTTCAACTATCAAATACAAAATTGACATCGATTGAAATAATCTGTAGCTACGTTTGAGAGAATAACTTAGAATTTCTCTGGTCATTTCAATGAACCAGAGGGGGAAATATCAAATTTTACGACGATTTGTGACATCAGTGATATAGGCTAACTGCAAACGACATTTAAGTCGCTTTTGAATGCAAAAAAAAATCAAAGAGCTTTGCTAAGGTTCCGGTAAAATGCAAGAGTAAGATTACTTTCACAGAGCTTAGCTAACCTTAGTTGAGAAAAAGGCTGAAAAAGGCTGTCTTGTCCAATTTGCTGGGCAAAGTCCCTGGCTAACTAGTCACAACACTGCTGTACAGAGTTATCAGGCATAAACTAACGTTAGTTAGATAGATAAATGGTTATTCGTATGAGTATGTCTGGACTCACCGCTCAGCCGAGATCTACGCATTGATAGGTGACTTCAGTGCAGCTCGTTTCTCTGGAAAATGTGGCGCGCAATCCTTCTTCTTCTTTGTGCGCACGCTCAGTAGTTTCAAACGTCTAGCTCTTTTGCTCAGCAAACGCAGATTTTTTTGTTCAACTTGAACAGTCGACTGAACACAGTTATGCTTGTTCGCGGAATATAAAATAGTAAGTTGAATAGCAAACATTATATAGTTAATGATTAGACACATTTTTTTTTGTTTTGGGCCAACTACTTTCATGTTTTATGTTGTGCCAGCATTTATTTTTTTATTCCCAGAACATTTCTGAACATCGATTTTTTACAGTGCACCAAACACTGTCTATTTCACTGTTAAATGCTAAAATGCTATTGAAATTCAAAAAGGAAAAATTATGTAAAGTACTACATTTAAAACAGAAATGTTTGTCATAATTCCCAATTAGCTGCACCATTTGTAGTTGATTTTAGCATTGTATTTAATGTGGTTGAACCACAATTGAAATAACAAAATGTGATTTAGGTATTTGATTACATCCATAATATTTTTTTAATGTAAAAGTTTAAATAAATAAAAAAAAAAGATATTGTGATTCATTCCAAAAGAACTGCAGATGTGCTACTATATCTCTAAGCTGTCTATTTGAAGACTGCCTCTAACTTGACAAACTGAGTGTTTGGTGTATTTAAAAACTTGAATTCCACCAAAATTAAATAATACAATCTTAAAGACTGTGAATGTCATCATCGAGCTATCAGTATACAGGTAACATCACTTTTTACAGGTATTACAGTAGAATAAGTATGGGCATGTACATTTTTAGCTACAGGTTAATTAAATGTCCTTTTTTGTGGTTTGCAATTGGTGTGCAATTCTCACCATGGATCAAAGTAAACAACACAATTAATCAGATGTGTATAGACACAGTGGTTCTGGAGCTATTGGCATTTTTTTTCTTCAAATCGTTTCACTGAAATCTCCTCTCACTTTTTCGGTATTAACACAAAAAGAGGAGTACGTTAAATGTCACCCAAACCGCAAAGGAAAAGGTGTGCATCACTCTGTGGTCGTACTGTCATGAATATAACATTTACTAACCTCCATAGTCTGTTCAAATGTTATTAGCGCCGAAAAGACGAATATCGAAAATAAAACTGACTTTACCGTACACAGTTCATATTGTTCATATAATACTGTGCCCCTTAAGGGACAGTGTTGTGGTTTAATGATGGTAGTGGTGTTGTTCCATTAGTCTAAAATGTATGTGTGTGTTATTTGTGTTTTTCTGTAGCCACTCCCGTATCTCCGTCTACACCAACACACTCATCACTCATGAACAGAGATGCTCATCAGGTCTGATTTTGATTTGGGGGGGGGGGGCGGTTATGAGGAAACTGCAGC